GCCCGGTGCGAGCCCGGGACCAGTATAGTGGCTCTCTGACAGGTGATTAGAGGGAGGTCTGTTCACGATCTCCCTCCGGTCCCCTCTCCGCTGTCAGAATGCAGAAGTGGTGTATATTACAACACTTCCACATTCTCGTGTCACTCTCCAGCTTCAGATGCTGGAGAGAAGCTGATGAAGCAGATCTCTGCTTCATCAGCTTCTTCACGGGGGTCTTGGAGACCCCTGATGTCTCCATAAAGAGGACCTCAGAAGAAGAAAATGTCACCAGCACACCACAGCAGTAAATCAATAATCCATTTAATGGCACATTGCCATTCAATGCAAGCGCTTTCGGGGCCTCAGGGGGTCCCCTTCATCAGGCTCATTCTGATGAGCCATTAAATGTGCAATTAAATGGATTATTGGTTTACTGCTGTGGTGTGCTGGTGACATTATTTTCTTCTGTGGTATGCATGGTGCCGTCCCTGGTCACTACGAGCACCCACCCATATGGGTTTCCTCTGGTAAGGAGTGCAGCAAGACCTCTGGTTCTTCATAAAGAGGACCTGTCACTTCTTTTGCTATCACATATAGGGGTTTCTTAGCCCCCTCTGTGATAGCAATAAAGTTAAGTGGAAAAAAAAATAGGAAAAAAATTTAAAGTTTCCCCCCAATTTTTTTCCCCCACCCCTACATACACGCATGTAAACATGCGTCAGGTGCACATACCTGCGTTAACTATGATTACGCCGCACATGTTACATATCGCCGTGAACGTCGCAGTGAGAGCAATAATTTTAGGGCCATCAATCACTGATAACACGAAACTGATGAGCTGTAAAAGCTTTTAAAGCATCGCCTGTTGCCAATTTTGGGTATGCTAGTTTTTTGCGAGTGCGTGCAATTGTTAAGCTTGACATGTTTGGTGTCTATTTACCTGACATGACCCCGACTTTTATATTTTACCAAAAAAGTGGGTAATATTAGTTGTTTTATAACATAATGTAAAAAAAACCCTTTTGTTTTTTTTTTCAAAATGATCAGTAATTTCTCCTGAATATAGTAAAAAATAAAACCCCCAGTGGTGATTAAATACCACCAAAAGAAATCTCTATCTGTCCCCAAAAAATGGTCTAAAATTCATTTCAGTACAGCGTTGCATGACGGAATAAATGTCAGTCAAAGTACCGCAGCGCTGAATACTGAAAAATGGCCTGACCAGGAAGGGGGGTCTAAACACCTGGTCTTCAAGCGGTTAAAAGGAATAATCCTACTTCTCTGATATCTGCAGCAATACATCTAGACTGCTTCTTCACCAAAACAACCCTCTAGAACTGTTCTTATCAAAATAATAATAAAAGTAGCAGATATTACAATAAATGCAGTAAAAAGATGACTTCTATTGTCTAGTAGTTGCCTCTAACTATTTTGTGACCACAATAAAAAGACTCCTATGAATGCTGTAATCTCTGGGCAGTTTTATCAGGAGGGAGAACTGCCTGTCATTTTTGCAATATGCATCTATAAATGTAGGAAGAATATGTGAATAGAGGAATGTGGAAACTGCCATTGCAGGATTGGCTTTACAAAGTGCAGAATATGCCTTCAGTGCCTGTAGAGTCGCTGACCTGGAAGAACCATGCTACAGGCAAGTGTTCACTTTTATTTAGACTTTGCAAACTTTCCTGGCACAGACCCTGGTCTGGAGCATGCTTGCTCCAGATCTGTGTTTGACTACTAAGTGAAGCCAGGATCGGGATGACATTCCCGGAGAACTTTTAAACAAATGCAGAAGACAAAAATGACTGCATAAATATTTGTCTCCACAGGTTTCCATTTTAACCCTTTTTGCTGCTTTTTTTTGAAAGCGTGGATGGTGGTGGGGAGGCACAGTCCCCAGCATGTAAAAGTGATCAAGCAGCTTTACAGTCACCAGAATTGAAAGTGACAGCTGGCCGAGCCCTGCGGAAGGAGAACGCTGTGTTTGTGGGGTTTTTTTTGGGGGGGGGGGGGGCCCAAAAAAAAAAATCTTGCACCAGGGCCCTTTGTTCCTTAGCTCCGCCACTGACCAGAATCACTTCTAATTTATAGCTGACAGCCAGGGGTTAAATAGTAAACAAACTCCTGATTGCTTTAGCAGCTTGGAGTTTCTTTACATGGTGGTATGCCTGCTGCTTTAATAGTTATGGCAGGAGCAGCCAAAGGTTTAAAGTGTATCTAAGGTCAAAACTTTTTTTTTTGCTTTGATTAGAGAGGCAAGAGGTTAGAACCCCTTGTCAGAATTTTAATGCTGTCTATAACCCTGCTAAGGAGAATCAGCTTCTCTCTTTTTATTTGCTGGGGGACACTATCTCTTGGCCTGAAAAAGAGGGCAAATCCAACATTTTGATAACGGAGTAGGAATAACTTCCTTTACATTTATTTTTGTGTTTGCAGGACAAAAAGTAAATGCGATCTCGTAATTGAAACACATATGGCAAAAAAAACGCAGCTTTTATTTAAACCATTCTATACTCTAAACCTTTTTAAGTCATGGCACCCTTTAAGGATATGCATAATCTCCATGCACTGCACTTTAAAAAAGAACAAATGACATGTTGCCCCTCAAGTCCATTCCAGACCCTTATCCGAAAAAGAGGGGTGGTATGGGCTTTAAGGGTGGACTCCAGTTATACTCAACCGAGCTAGGATACTGGCTGGCTCCTAAACCGGTTCCTTTAGCTTGTCTCCTCCTCTCCAGGGATGGAATGTCCCTGAATGGACTGGTCTAGGAGCCAGCCAGGATCATGATTCACATAATGATAACTGTGATTTTTAGCTCCCTAGACAAAATGAGCACTTATCCCTTGCAGTGCGGGGGTAGCCCTACAGTAAGTGTTAATATTTGCACTGAGTTGTTCTTTAAATTGCACTTCATATAACGCTCTATGCTCAGCAGTGTGTTGCAATGGGCTATATTGTGATAAAATGTATGCTTACACATACAACACAATGCACAAAAACACACGCGTTGGCATAAACAGGCCATATACAAATGGCACCTGTAGGCATGAATGGAAATCTGTTTAGCCTGAGCGGGAACCTTTACTTGCTATAGGGCCTGCTGGCTTTCACATTTGCAGAGAAGGACTCCAGTATCGCACAAGGCTGCCCTAAATGCCGGTCCGCATCAGACATCGCTTTACAGGGCAGCCTTACAAAGTGCTCTGCATTTGCGGAAGCTAGCGGTTCCTGTAGGCGCCGCTGGTCCTGGAGCAGGAGGGTGCATTTTGTGCTATTGCCAGTGTATCTTGACACAACACTGGGAATTAGGCAGAGTAGGTACCTGTACGGCGCCCCCCCTATGGAGAGTGCCTGCAGGCATGTGTCTACTCTGCCTAATGGTAAATTCTGCCCTGTAAACAGAGCAAGTCCAAAGCCTTGTCTTTGTGTTGGGACTGCATGGACAATGCCGCCCAAGCACAGCCCAACATGTTCTTGTGTTTTTTTCTTTCTGGTTTTGCAGACATTCATGTAGCGTATCTTCCAGTAACAAAAAAAGTTAAATGTTAATGTAAGAGTGTTATATAATGTAGAAAAGACTAATTCAAGATTTCATTGGTTAGATTTCCCCACTGATTCCTTTGTAATGCTGAACACATGTGAATGCTGAGGTGTGGTTAGCTGAGTGAGGAATTAGTCATCCAAAATTCCTTTAGAAGCTGGAGTCCATTCAAAAGAAAAATAACACATGGCTAATTTACATATAAAACCTCTTTACCAAATGATACACTACTACTCACAAAAGAAAAACATGGTGTTGTATATTTGTATATTTTGTTATAAATATATTAACAACAAGATTAGCTGTCTAGTAAACAACCAGCTGCTTTTATCAGGTCTTCTCTAGGTGGGCATGTCTACAAACTAGACGGAATATGTATATATAAGCCAAACTTGTTCAAGTACATTATGGTTCTATTTTCAGAAGTGGTCTTGAGGTTGTAGTAGTAGTTACACATGGTACATGTCAAGTATACATAACTCTTCCAGTGCCAGAAATAACCTCTCACTAAAATGACAAAGTATATTTTTGGCACAGGTTTAGCTACTAGTAGCTTTTTTTTTTCCCCTTCAAGTTGCTGCATCACATAGTTCCCATCACATATGATTATTGTGTTCATCCAGAAGCATTGGCTATATAAAAAAAGGCATGGAAATAGGCCATCCAATACTGTCCTTTAAAGGATTATGATATAATATAACTCCTGTGATGGCTGAAGCTAGGGTGGGAAAAATATCCAGTCCAACAACTTTTCAGTATTTAAAAGACCATTATTGAGAAAATATTGTGTTCTGATAATTGAATATGGTTAATACATTATTTGTAATTATACTATACAGTATGTTCTTTTTAAAATATCACATGTTGATCGTTGGCTCAACATTTATGGGGAGACCAAGTTACCCAGCAATAGTGACGGTGGCAGACGTTAGTGCTTCCAACACATACCCTTTATTCCTATGTTTTTATATCTTCTTTTAGAAATGAATTTTTTTTTTAAATTTGCTGCAGCAGTTCTGCAAGCCTCCTGGTAGTGTTATAGAATGTTCAATCCCCATGTCACTGTTACGTTAGCTTAACTGCTTGATCTGCATGTAAATTTACCACAAAAACAAAAGAATTGGCATATTGAACACTGTCACTGCATGTAGTAACTGCATACATTTGTCAGAATACAATACTTTTAGCAATTATGTTTTGTTTTGTTTTTTACTTTGTCTTTTTAAACAACTTTAGACTCCATTCATATAGCTATAATAAGCATTATTTGCTATAAACATGGATACAATGAAGGCTGAAAACTACAGTCCCTGGCTAAAATAATGATCACTATGTCAGATAACATGTTACTGCTTGTGCACTTGATCATTATATATAGTCTGGTAGATGTCAGATTGGTTCATGGACAGTTGCATTTGGCATCCTGCAATAGAGTGGTGTTGTGTTAAAGAATGCACACTCTTTCTTGACTCACCAGTCCATCGCAGTTGCTAATGGCCACAGTTGCTCCAGGCATATCCGTAATGTCTCCAGTATATACACAACCAGAATGAATGGACTCTTGAGAAATTTCTTGGAAATCCTCCTGCCATTCTATGGTGGCCTCATGTGAAACTAAATGTCGTTTTGGTTTCAGGCGAAGATGCAGCTGTGTGCCAAAGACGGTGACATTAAAATACAAGGAACTATCATCTGACGTAGCTCTTTTTGGATCGGGGATACTTCGGGCCACCCTCTGCCCAGGGTGCTTTAAGGTCAGCCCACCTCTTCTACTTCCTGTTGCTGACACCACGTGGGAAAGATATTGTCCCAAATGGTCTGTACTGAATGGTACAATCACACCATATTCACTAACCTTTCCAGCGATCCGTTCTATGGGAAACAAACAAAAGCTTCATAAGGTTTTAGAAAATTTGCATACATTTTGTTAAATGCTATAAAACAAGCTTACTTTTGGGCTTTCTAAAATTGGCAATGGAGTCATCTTAATAATTAAGCTGTAGCCCAGCTCATGCAACAAGCACTTCAGCCTTCATGCATGGGCATATTGCTCTTTTTTGTAAGAAATGTAATAGGTCTTCTGAAGCGGAACAGTGGCTAAGAACATTTGCACAAAATATCTCAATACTGTTAAATATTGACCTTAGATTGAGTTGTAAGAAATATGTACAGCTTTCCCAGCTGCATACGCATTACACTTTCCCCACCAGGGGGACGAGTAAAGCCTTGACTTGTAGCTCCATCTTGATGGAGCAAGGTTATTGACACCTGTCAAAACAAACACACCTATGAATTAATGCACAAGTAACACTGAATACATGAGTTGGACATCCAAGGTGATATACCCTGGTGGTAAAATGCCATACCACTATATCTGATAATTTACACATACTTGATGTGTAGATTCATGGTGCCATTAGCCCTACAGCTTAAAGTCAAAATTAAAAAATCTAGCTCAATGTATTCCAATCTCCGATATTTGTATTAAACTGCCTTAACCTTATCTGCAAGTATGGCTATTTTAGGAATGTTCATGTTCTAAACTCAAAGCACTTTAGCTCCTGTTTTAACTCCAGAAACATTAATGCCGGTTGATATCTGAACACTGTGCACTCGCTTCTACTGACAGGCAGAGTTATTAAGCTGTGTCAGTGTAATGAAGTTTAATGTTTCCCTTTTAGTAAGTTGTGTGCCAGATAAATCATTCTGACTGATTAAAAAAATTAGACATGCGTAGTATACAATCATAAGTACAACAAAACAAGTGTAATGGCATGCAATTAGAAAATCACACTTTTAGTAATTGATCAGTCTCTTCTGTATCACTTCTATGTTCTTTATAAGCCAGTATGTATGCTTTACTATATGTGTAGATACTTGTCAATACCTGCCACCTAAAGTATGAATTGCTGTACTTAAAACAATAGGCTTAAATACAGTGGTAGCAGCACTAAATCAAGCCATACCTTTTGCAATAAATGAATCCACAGTCATCCAACAGAAAGATGTGAAAATGCAAGTAGCAATCCCATATATGTAGAGAAAATCCATTGGATATTACTTAAAAGTGAGTTTGTACAGTTTTCCTGAGCAAGATGAAGTCGAAATGAAAGAGTATCCAGTAAGTGAGGTTGTTGAGTAGGTTTTTTTCTTCTTCTATGGAGATTTCCTACTTTGCTTGCTTAGCAGGGCATTTAGAGCGAGAGAAGGATCTTGCAGGATTTTGCACAGCCAGCCAGGCGTTTAACAATCTGCTCTCCTCCTGTTGCAGTACAGCAGATTGACAGATCAGGAGAGGCACACTCTAGAGTGGTGGGGGAGAAAGCTACACAGGATTTGATACAGTCTATTTGGACCTTTTGTGAACTGTGTACATCCAGGAGAAGCCCCATCCATTTAGGAAGGCAAAAGAAAGAGGGGAGGAGGAGAAAAAGAGTGGAAAAGGGAGGGAGGTCTGGATAGCCAGAGTACATTGCAGCTCCCAGCCAGTGTTGCAAGTACTGACGTCATCTGTAACATTGTAGTACAGACACACCCAGGGTTCCCTCTGTCCCTCCTCTGGACACAGAGGGTCTCCCAAATCTGTGACATGTGAAACTGTACTGTGCCTGAGACCGCTGAGAGAAGAAAAAAAACAGAATGAGTCTATATGCATTACCTACAATGTGAATAATAGGATCAGTGTTCCTAGTAGGAAAAATACACAGACAAGGACGAAAAGTAGTTTAAATGATTCCCAGTTATTATTGCCCCGGTGTTGAATTTCAGGTCTAGCCCTTCCTTATGAATTGATAATACATGAGTAAATCCTTTTTTAGTTTTATTTATTTTCTATAATTTGTTATTGGTGTGTTCAGCGATCATTCTAGCTCAAGCAGCATACTTGTTTTAGACCTATAAATAACAATAATATAAATTAGGGTTGTTACTGATTATAATTTTCGTGTTCGATTAATCAAAATGTTTTTAAATCGATTAATTACGATTAATTATAACGCACATACATATCCAACTACATTGGCCTATACACATACAGCACAGCAATGAAGTAATAAAATGAACTAGGATCACACTAATCCAGCGCGTTATTAATCTCACGTGCCCCACTCAATATGGCCGCAGCTTGAGCGGGGCAACTCAGATTAATAACGTACTGGAGTACTGTGATCCTAGCTCATTTTAATACTTCGTTGTTGTGCTGTATGTGTATAGGGCAATGCCTTGGCTGGCGCTCGTGCAGAATAACTTTCTTGGGCAAACCTCTTTGTTCCAAGTAAACCGGAAGTCAGGCGGTCCGAAAACTCCATAAGTTGGAACTTTCGATCGAACACCGGCCCAAGTGGCTCCGTCGGCTAACGAAGGGAAGGGGGAGGAGTCCGGTGACGTCACAAACATCCATGTCACCGGACTCCTCCCCCCCTTCTCTTCGTTAGCTGACGGAGCCACTTGGGGAAGGGGGAGGAGTTCGGTACCGTCGATGTCCGTGACGTCACCCGATCTCTGACGGAAGACCCGGAAGCCGGCGGAGAGGTGAGTGTTTTCATTATTGATCAAAATAATTTTAATCGATCAAAACTTTTAACTATTAATCAGGTAATCGTTAATTTCCGCAGCCCTATATAAAATAATGTAACATAATTTGATTGTAAAAGTGTATAATAAAAAAGGACAAGCTTTTGGGCATGGACACTTTGACAATTAGTGAACATGAAATGTAGCAGATTTAAAAAGCTGGCTATAGCTAAATGAGTGTCATGTACACAGCACTAGTAAAAGTGTGCCTGTTTCAAGCACAGGAGGAATTGCAAATCTGGACAAAATCCGGCATCTGTTGGCTGAAAGGGGAGAACAGAATCTGATCACAAATTAAGACTTTTTATGGACTTTTTAGAGGTTATGGGAAACGCTGCATTTACACATCATTCTAAGGTACCCAGGAATGCTAAATCCCTTTTGTAAAGGTCCCCTTTGCCTCCACTCAATTTTTTAAAGTGACTTGCTAGAATGTACTATTGGAGGCGGAATGCAATTTACACACTAACAAATACTATTTCAAACTATATTGAGTCTTTTCTCATTTATTCTTTGCATCCACTTCCCCCATAGGTATTTTGCTGAATTTATCCACAAGTATACAGAGATGACCAGAAGAGGGAAACAAAATACAAAATGCAAGAAGTCAATTTTTAAGCTTGCATAGACAATAGCAACATCCCATAAATACCATTGTGGTAAAAGCAGTCCTGAAGGGGCTGGTGCCCTGTCCATGGGGTTGTAGTCTACAAGCGTAAAGTATGTTGTGTATGCAGGTCACGTTGAGTCCACTGATGGGCAAATCTTTCAGAACAGGGAAAGGGTGGAAAGTGGAATAGGGTGTGAGAATGTCAGTGTGGATTACTGTCCTTTAATTCAGAAGGGCAATCAATGGATGATTTGTTAGTTGGAGATGTGCAGGAGGTTGTCAATGCAGTCTGATATCCATCACCTAAAATATCTGCTGCTGAACATCAGTCACCGACAGAAAAGATAATGATAGTGATCTAATTGTAAACTTTTATTTTAATAAGATTGCCACAGCTACTTGTAGACACGTTGTGAAGCCTGCAATCCAGTTATCCTAGGCCCAAACTGTGAACAAGGCCTTAAGTTCTAAATAGTTTAGATTTAAGACTTGCCCACTCACAGTTCTTAAACCCAGCTCTGTCGTCCAGTTGAAATGCCAGAACCTAATGTCCACCGGGTCTCTGAGTACTTACTGCCCACTAAGGGTTTGGCAGTTGACCATGAATAGTGGGGTAGGTTTAAAGCTTAGAGGGGGAAGAATTTGATTTTGACTTGGGAGAGAAACTATTGCCCTGTGTACAGCTTGTACCCAAGGGGACCCCACATAGACCCAGGGATCGATCTGAACTAACTTGTGGTAACTGCATTTAAATGTATCTGTATCTCCTAAGTCAATCCTTGCATCGCTGCCACTCCTTGTGCACACACCCACTTCTCTCATTAAGCTTTCAAATGCCAAAACCTCTATTTCTTCCTTAAGGCTTAATCAAAATCCCAGAACCTCTACTAGCCTCTGGTGGTTGACCGCTAAATGGAAGGCGGTGAGGTCAAGCACTTGGAGGGGTGGGGTTAACCACAACATCTTGTGGTCAGTTTGGTCCTAGGACCCAAAAGTCTTACAGGGATCATTTTGAAGACTAAAGCTCCTCAACTTCCTATATTTGTCTTTAAATATAGATCATGTCCATGTTAGTCCCAGTTGAGCTTTTTGGATCCTAGGCCCAGAATGTGCAGAACCAAAACTCCATGTTGAAACTCTGAGCCTTGCCCCTCCTGTAGCTTAGCTATGCCTCCAGTCGTTCAACTGTCCAATGGCAAATGATCCCTGTCTTCCACCTGCTGCCTTAGGCTTAGTAAAATGCCAATGGATCTATTGCCTGAGGGTCTGGAAGTTCACAATTGATTTAAGAGTGTGGGGCTTAGCATATGCAGATTAGGTTATTCCTTTTCATATTTCCAAAGAACTATAGAACCTCGGTACCCTAGCGTGTTGTCATCTGTGGCAACCTCTGCGCATTAAGTTGCCTACACCTTCTAGCTGAACTATACGTGACCAGAGTTTACTGTACAATATAAATTACTCTGTACCCTGTGCAAATGTTTAAAGAACTCCAGGCAATCACAAAATTAACCCTTGCTGTGGGGCTACCCACACACTGCAAGGGTAAGTGCTCTTTTTGGTCTAGGGGCAAAACATTTTTTTTTTTTAAATACTCAGCTGATCCTCAGTCCTGCTTGGCTGCTAGACCAGGCCCCACCGCCTCCTCTTCCCCAGGCTTCAGCAGTCTAAGGACCCGTGACATCATCACATCTAATGCAACTAGCCCCATTGCAAGGGTTAATTTTTTGATTGCCTTGAGTTCTTCTTCTTTAATTAAATTCTATAATAATGAACAGTGACTTTAATGTACAGCAGTATTGATTTAGCATCCACTCTTTTATAGTTATTTGTAGCCAGACTTGCCCACCCAAAAGTCGCAAGAGTCTTTTACACCTGTGCTGGAGGGATTTTGGTCACTATTGAGCTGTAAACAGAGTATACAGCAGGAAAGATGCACTTATCCTATCACAACTTTTGAATACGTCTTCATCACTAATAGACGCAATTTTCTGTTCTGTTCATGCTCTAGTTTTTTTTCTATATTTATTTAAATGAACAGTCTTCCACTCCAGGATCCTAGTTATGGATACTCAAAAGAAACTGGTATTGATGAAGTACAGATAGTGCCATTGCTGTTTTCTCCTTGCTTGTCTGTTATTCCGGCATAATAGATTTTGGAATCACTGACCCAGAAGAAGTATGCAGATTCAAAGCTTTGACTTTGCTGATCAGTATGCTTGTTCCAGATCAGTAACTCAAAGTATTGAAGCTGATGGCTAGGCATCAATGCCAGACAACTTGCATTTTGAGAAGGTCAGCAATGGCAGCCTTTGTCTTTCTCTTAGTACAAATCTTCCTTAGTAATAAGCTGATTAATAATCCCATATGTCAGCAAGATATCCTGTAAACTATCACGTCTGTAGACATCTTCATGACACCAGAAAGCCCTCAAATGCATATTCATAAAAATTCTGAAACTGCATATTAACATATGACCTCATCAAAATTTTCAACACCTTTTTAGATGCTTTTATTCCAACTTGTACAATATGTTATTTGATACAATTTCCAGCCCTCCACAGTATTCAATATATTAGGAATACAATACTTTTCTATAAGAATTTGCTCAATATAAACACTGTAGGACATTTATATCACTTCCTTACAAGGGTATGGTAGACTATCACCAGTATTATTCGATACCATACTCGCCAAAACCTTTTGACCATAAAACAATAAGGTCTACTAGCATTCTAAACATGAAGTACTTGGAGATGAATTAAACATTTAGGCATTCACAGCTGGTATCCTGATACTGGGAGATTTTCCCTCTGGGTTGGATGATGATGATGATACTACCACCTCTGAGATGATTGTGCAGTGAATC